CCAGAAGGGCAACCAGACGCTTTTCTTCAGACCAGTGTCAGCTTCCCACAGCTATGCCAGTGCCCCTGATAGCCAACCTCCCCAAAGCGGAGGGAGGCAAAGAATTGTGGGCATGGGCCGGGCACACAGACGCTGGAGAGACAACCTGGAGACGAGGAGGGGACCCTGCCAGACACGCCCGCGGAGCTGCAGGGGCGGCTGCCGCGAGAGGGCAGCACAGCCCCGGCCCCCCCCGAGCCGCCACCCCGGCGGGCTGCGCAGGGGCTCACTCGGCCCCGCCTCACCCCTTCGGGGAGTCCAGCGCAGAGACCACCCGCCACCTCCCCGTGCTCGGCTGGCTGATGGAGCCCGAATTGGCTGCAGGGGTTATAATTGGCACCTTCGTTAATCTCTACCACCCTGCGGCTGTGTGGGTTTTCTCCTGCTGCAAGACCCTAGGGATGTGCTGGCAGGCATTTAAGCAGCCCGTGGCTATACTTAAGACTTCCTGTTCTTCTCAGAGCTGAGACTTTCTTCCCTAAGGGCTTTAATGCCAGCAGTCCTGGAAGGGATGTCTGCTGTAAGCATAGCCCTGATGGCAATCAATCCACATCCTCACCCCAGTGCCTCTCCCACAAGAAGCCAGGAGCTATCCACTGCCAGGACCCATCTCTCTGGCCATGGACTGGGAAGCAGAGATGTGTTTCCATGTGGATTCAAGGCCTGGCTCTGTCTTGCATGTTTTCCACCCGGAGAAGCCGTGTTTCTTCAGCTCTCTGAGCCATTCCCATCACTGCCGTTCAGCAAATGGCAAGACAAAAATAGCTACTCTCCAGGGGCTGCAACAGGGCTGCTTGATTTGACTGTGTTCCGCTCCACTCTGCTGTGCAAACCCAGGGCTGACTTCAAAGCAGGGGCTGCACAAGCTCCTCCAGCCACCTCAGGTAGGCACTGCTTCCCACCCTGAGCCACACTAAGTGGGTATCACAGGGTAAGCTTCAGTGTCTATGGAGCCACAGCTGTAGCCCCCCACCCTTGAGAGCTGGGAAGGGGATAGGTGTAGGGGGAAAGTACAGAAGCACAAGCGGGTTTCTCCTCCCTGGGCATTGCAGACAACCTGCCAGCCAGGTCCTCTGTGGCTTCCCGGCCCCAGGGCTCCCAGTGCAGCAGGAGCTCTGCTAGAGGCCGTTGGTTGCACAGGCTGGGGAGGGGGAGAACCGGGGCTGTCAGAACCACTCACTGAGAGATATACGAAGACTGTGAGCTCTCTCTCCATGGGTAAAGCAGTGCAGGAGCTGACTGGCAAGCTGCTGCCAAGGAGACAGTCCTTTTCCCTGCCTGTCTTTGCCAGTGCAGACAGACCACAGCACAGCAAGTGAGCTATTAAAGAACAGCTCTAGCCAGCCAGCAAACACATGCTCATTCATCATTCTGGAGCAGGCAGGGGGATGTGCCAACTGCTTTCCGCCAGGACATATCACAAAGCCTGTGTCCAATCGCCCAGCAGCCTGGAAGGGAGCTGGGGTCAGACTAGGGGGCCCTGGACCCTCCAGAATGCCTTTTCTTGTCATAAGGGTGCTGGTAGAGCTGCTCTGCCCCAGGCTAGGAACTTAGGCATTTCTGAGACAGAGCCTTAGCATGGCACCATCATGCCAGAGACAGCTTGGAGAGGAGGTGATGGTTGGCATGGGCTTAGCTAAGGCCTGACCTGCCCCCACATTCCCACCTGAACCAGGCAGGCAGACCTGCACAGCTCTCTGCAGTGGGAGGCTCAGGTCGGATGGAGCAGAGCAGGAGACTGCCGGGCACCTGCAAGGAACTGTGTGGATCCTGTAGATCAGTAGTAGCTCTTTCAGAGCCTTTTCACAGTACCTGCTTGGTTTTACACCTACTTCTCTTCCCTGGTGCTGCTGTCTCCCTATTTGTCTCCATCCCTAGAGCCCAGCCAGCTGTGCTGGGAGCCAGAGTGCTCCAGTCTTCCATCTGGAATACCCCTGATTCAAGACGGGGATACACCTTTTTACAGCCCAAGTGAGGGGCCTGGACAAGAAACCATCCCTTTGTTGATGCTAGCATGTAGCTGAAGTATGTGTTGCTCTGGCTACAGTGACCTTAGTGGCAGAGTACCTGTGCATGCCAGCAGTGTCCCTGCAAAGCCACAGCACCAACAGCTGAAGATTTGGCTAAGGCCAGAAGTCTGAGAGATTTGAGACCAACTATGGCTGGAGCCCTACTTCTTTCCTCCCTTGCATCCAAAGGTATGTCATTCCTGCTGCCTGGGGTGGGAATGGCAATTCCCTGGGGAAGGGAAATGCTGCCCTCTTCTCCTGCTTTGTGCCTTTCCCTGCCAGCTGACCATTTACAACCAAGAAAGACGCCAAGCAGAGATGGCCCCAAGGATGTACTTTGTGCTATATAATTGCCTGCCAGTCTTGGAGCTTGAGCCTAAAGAGTAAAACTAAAGAATGGGGAAAAGATCCTCCTATTTCACGTGGAAGTGCGGCTGCCTCCCATGTAAGCTGCAAAGCTGCTTCTCTACCCACATAAGAAACATCCTGCTGTTCTTGTAGGGCTTGGGTAATTCCATAGTGCTTGCAGGAATCCCTTGCCGCTGTCAGCAATGCTGTCTTGCAGAATGACAGTGGGTTCACTGACCTTCTCTACCCCACAGCTGCTGCCACAGCAGGACACAAGCTGCAGGCAAGAAGGGAATAATGCACTGAAGCTCTCCTCCTGCTCATAGCTGAGGCCTCAGGCTGCATCACTGAACAGCCCTGGGCTGGATTGTTAAACTGACTTCAGCCAAATCTCCCCTCCTGGGAGTGGTAGGAGGTGCATACACACCGAGCTGCGCAGTTCAATAACCACAAGCCTAGCTGGGGAAGCCAGGGGAACTCTCTGACCTCTGCTGTGAAGCCCATCACTGTCAAATATGAGTAGTCTTTCTCCATGAGTTCAGGGAAGCCAATTTGAGAGATCTCACACAAGGTGGGGGTGGCTTCACTTTTTTAAGATGAAGCAATCTGAGAACAATTTCACTTCAGCAAGAGAAAGCAGTATGCAAAAAGGACTCTGCTTCCTCACCTGCAAAATTCATCTGTGGGTTTCTGATGAGACCATATTTGCACACCAGAAAATCCTCAAATGTGTAAAGAAAGAAAAGACAAGCTTCTTCCCATCCCCTCCCTAGAGCTCCTCCATCTTCTCAGCTATGTATATCTAAAGGTGCTGACTTAATCATTGTCAGGAACCTTGTCCTGATTTTCTTCGTCTGTATTTATATCCCTTTACCAAATCCTCTTGGTTACTTCAGCCCACTCTAAGCTGGCCTTGAGCAGGTGGTGCTGGCCCAAATCCACTTGGTTCTGGCCACTCCCAAAGCAAACCTCTGCATCTGAAGGTCTGTGTGCACACATGCCTGTTCTTTGCAGAACTTACTGCAGGAATGGTAGCTGACCACAGTGCAGGATATGTAGCAATGCGACTTTGCCACTCTTCCCTGCCAAGGCACAGAGGGCATAGCCTCTGTTTTACCCCCAGATGTGGCAAGTCAGCCCCAAGCATAAGGAGGCCAGTGTAGAAGCCTGAAACATGGCTCTGAGTCTGTGCTTTCATTGCAAACACTTCCAGCATCAGCAGTGCAGGAGGAAGCAGGAGGGCTGGCTTAGCTCCTCCCGGTTGATAATTCATTACCGCCTGTTAGCCTGGATGCATCCAGCAGCAACTACATCCTGGCAACGACATGTGCTCATTTCACACATAAAATGCTGTATCAAAATGCGTCGTTCAGACATTCTCCCTGGAACCTTTCCAAGCTGTCTCTCCCAATGCTTTACATGCAGGAGCAGTCCCTGCAATTGGGGCATTTTGTTCCTAATGGATGCCTGGCACCTGCTGTAGAAATCAGCGCTGCAGGATCCATCATGCAGCTCATGAGAAATACAGGGGGATCTTCCTGCAAGGAGCAGAGAGGCAGGTAGCAGAGGGGTGCAGATTTCATCTATGGAATGCTCAGATCCATAGAGGGAGAAGCAATGTCTATGCATGTGGCTGGTTTATCACACAATACTTGCAATGATGCAGAAGTGCACCATCTCTTCCCTCCTTCCCTGAGGGTCTGGGAGCCCTGAGCAGCAGGGCTGGCTGGCCTTGCCTTGTGAACATGGAGGAGGTTCCTTTTGCTTTCTCCAAGGTCCCTGACTTTGGCCCAATACTGGTGACTGACAGCCTGGTGGTAAGTCTCCCTTCCACGTCTGAGTGGGAAAAGGCAGGGTGGGTGGGGGACTTCATGCTTGCACAGCAGGTGCTAGGGGTGCTCCCCCAAGGCTAGGTGCCTTCTGACTCCCTGCAGAGCTGTTCCCAGGGTCAGGCCGGTTCTCAGGAGAAGAGAGGCTTGCCCACCAAGCCTACATCTATCATGTTGGCTGCCGAGTCACAGACAGCCTTCCAACCACCCCAAACCTCTAGCTGCCCCCTGAGCACATGTTCACAGTCTTCTTGATCTTCACACCTCCTCTTCACCCCTCTGCTCTTTTCTGGCATTTCCAAAGGCTCTTTTCCCCCACCGTGTTCCCCAAGCAGCATTGGAGCAGAGAGCTCTGTTCGTCTGGGAAGGGTTATCTTTTCCCCTGGGGGTAAGAATAGAGAACAGGACTTCGCAAGAACAACCGAGTTCACAAGCCCTCCCTAGACCCCTCCTGTGCCCACTGTCCTCTGGGCTTCCCCGGGAGCCTCCCCACGTCCCCCACACAAAGGGCTGGGGGCTTCGGCAGCATCGCAGGTCCCAACCCCCCCCCCCGCCCTGGCGGGAGCACCATGCGAGCCCCCGATCGGTGAAGGTCATGCCGGGGCGGCGGCCGCCCGCCAAAGCCGCGCCGCGCTTTGCCACCACCCACCGGCGGGGGGGGCGGGCACACCGGGGCCCCGTGCGGCGGCGATTGGCTGTCGGCGGGGAGGCGGGGAGCAGCGGGACCGCGCCTGGCTGCAGCGGCGGGCACGGAGCCCAGAGCGGGCGCGGCGGAGCATCCTCGGGTACCACGGCCCCGGTGCGGGCCGCCTCCCCCGTAGGCCCCGGCCTCCTATGGGCGGTGCCGGCGCCCCGGCCCCTGCACGCCCGTCTCGCTCGGCGTTAGCATGGGCACGGTGCTCTCCCTCTCCCCCGCCGCCTCCTCGGGCAAGGGCGGCGGCGGCGGGGGGCTGCTGGCCGACAAGGCGCCGGGAAGGGTGCCGGGCAAGGGCGAGAGCCGGCTGAAGCGCCCCGGCGTGCTCATCTCGGCGCTCACCTGGAAGAGGCTGGTGGCCGCCTCGGCCAAGAAGAAAAAGAGCACTAAGAAGGTGACGCCGAAGCCCGGCGGCGGGGCCCCCGGGGGGCCCCCGGGCCAGCCTGACCCGCTGGTGGTGCAGCGAAACCGCGAGAACTTGCGCAAGTCGGTGGTGGGGCCGGCCGACGGCGCCAAGCAGGGCCCGCTGGCCGTGCCGGTGCCCACCGTGCCCTCGGCGCCGCAGGAGTTGCACCCGGGTTCCGGTGGGGGAAAGCCACCGCCACCACCGCCGCCGGCGGGCGGCCGCCCCCCAGGGTCCCCGCGCCGCGTGGTGGTGCAGGCGTCCACCGGCGAGCTGCTGCGCTGCTTGGGGGACTTCGTGTGCCGCCGCTGCTACCGCCTGAAGGAGCTGAGCCCCGGCGAGCTCATCTCCTGGTTCCGCAGCGTGGACCGCTCGCTGCTGCTGCAGGGCTGGCAGGACCAGGGCTTCATCACCCCAGCCAACCTGGTGTTCGTCTACCTGCTGTGCCGGGAAGCGCTGCGGGGCGAAGACATCGGGAGCCAGGCAGAGCTGCAGGCCGCCTTCCTCACCTGCCTCTATCTTGCCTACTCCTACATGGGCAACGAGATCTCCTACCCGCTCAAGCCCTTCCTGGTGGAGGGCGACAAGGGGCGCTTCTGGGAGCGCTGCCTGGGCATCATCCATCGCCTCAGCGCCAAGATGCTGCGAATCAACGCGGACCCGCACTACTTCACGCAACTCTTCCAGGACCTCAAGAGCGAGGGCGAGGGCGGAGACGGGTCCAAGCACTGGACGATCAGCCTGGACCGTTAGGGAGGTACCAGGCCCCCGGGGCCGGAAGGGGCCGCGCACCGAGGGGCGGGGGAGGCGAAGGACTGTCGGATTCCCCCTCCTCCCACCGCATCCTCCTCGCCTTCCCCCCTCCCCGGCCGCCAGCTCCACGGAGACGCTACTTGGACCCTCCCTGCTCCGGATCCGGCCGCCCCCCCCAGAACGGGGCTGCGCTCCGGAACACCGAGGCGGCGGCGAAGACCGAGGAGGGGGAGTGGTGACCCTCCCGCCTGCGCGATGGAGGGGGGGAGGCTGCGGAGGAGCGGAGGCTCCTGGATGCGTTTTCTTTAGAAAAAAAAGGGGTGAAAAAAATAGAAATGAGGCTCTGGGGCAGGAGTGGTCGGGGGGACCTTGGAGGTGCGGCGGGTGCCTCTGGCAGAGCGGGTGCATGTGAAGGAGCTCTGCGGCGCGGGCAGAAGCTGCCCGCCGCGCTCCCGGTGCTGTCCGTGGTGCTGGAGCTGCCGCGCCTGAGCAGACAAAGGCGGGGGGGGGGGTCTGTGTTGTGAGCGATGCCTTCCCACCCCCCCCAACCCCCTCCCGCCCACGTGGGGGGATATGGGCCCCCCTCGGCATGGGCGACGCTGCCCCTCACCCCGCGGCAGCCGTCCGCATGCCCCTTTGTTCGAGCCGCTGTGGGGGGACGCCCACGCCCCTCCCCGCGTGTAATTCCTCCCCTCCCCCCAACCCCCGGTGCGCCTCCCCAAACAAGGGGTTATGCCTCCCCCAATCTTGGCTTGCTGCGAGTAAAGGGGTCTGTGCCAGAGGAGGCCTAGGGAGCCCAGACGGAGGGGGCCTGCTATTGGGAGGGAGGGGTTCCCTCTCCTCTTGCTTTGCTTCACTGGAGAATAAAGAGGTGGCCTGGATGGGCCTGGTGATGGCTTCTGGACTTGCTGGGCTGTGGGGTGCAAATGGGATTGGGGGGGCATCCCAAGCTCCTAGTCATGCCCCCTCTCCTCCCCAAGAGGGATGGGGGGACCTGATTCTCAAAGGGGGTTTTACTCTCAGTGTGAGTTGGGGGTCAGAATTTCACCACTGTTTGTTGTGCCCAAGGCCAGTTTTGGTCCACCTGAGTGTCTCTTGATTCCTTGTGAGCTCTCCTGGCCTCCTCCATTCCAGTTGGAATGCCTGTCTGCTGCTCTGAATTTAAATAGGATGCCACATTTCATGTCACCTCCATATTTTTTTTTTTTTTTAGTTTTATTTTTCCTAAAGATACCCCAACCTCCCCCTGCCTGCCTCTCTCTGCAGGGCTGGGCTCCCTTTCCTGGCAGCAGCAGGCTGTGGGAGCTATGCAGCTAGCCTTGTTACCAGCTCTGTGCTTTTGCAGACCCCCCAGGGAGAGGGGTGGAGAAGGGGAAGGCTTTGCTTTTCTCATAGCTGGTTGCTATGCTTCAGAGTACTGAATTTGCTGGGCCTTCTTCAACAGGATCTGCAACACATGTTCTCTGCATGTGGGGTCTCCAATGCTTCCTAGCCCTTCTGAGCCAGGCGTTCAGGCTCCCTGTAGCTGGGAAGAGCTATGCTGGCTCTGCAGGTCATGGAGGGTAAGCTGGATTCTCTCTACCTTTGTGTGCATCAGCAGAGCTGCTAATTAGGCCCAATCTGGCTCATTCAGGCAAAGCTGTGCTACCAGGAAGACAGCACAGATGTCCCTGTGATGGGGGCTGACCTGGCAGGGTGCTGTGCAAGGCTTTTCCATGGCTGTGTAAACCCTCCAAGACCAGTGCTTCTCCCCTTCTCCCTCTCCTAATGGGTGCTGTTGTTCCTGCCTGTAGATTGACATTCATGTGACCTTGTGGTGAGCTGTCTGGGCCACAATGCACTCAAACCCACCCCAAATTTGACTAAATCCACATCTTATCCTAAAGAAGGTAGCTCTGGCTTAAACAGGTGGAATTGGACCCTTAGAGCTCCTAGGGGGCTGCTGGGAGAGCCCTGACTCTCCCCTATCAGCACTTTTCAGAGGGGAAAACTGAGGCACAGTGAGATGAATCCAGGAAGGTCTACTGCATCACAGGGTAACACCTGAGCCTTTGGTGCTGGCTGTCTCTACCCTGAGCCGTGATGTTTGTCCAGTGACTCCCTCCCCCCAGCCGTGGGGCTTTATAGAGTCTTGTCTCCAGAGCTGAACAACCTGCCAGAGCGGGTGAGGGCTTCCCAGCCCTCAGATCTTCTTAGGGACACTTACAAGATATTTCAGCTTCGAGCCCCAGCTTTTTAAAATTTTTCCAGCTGCAGCGAGGCCATGTCCTTCCCCTCCTCCCTTGTGTTTCATTGATTAAGAGTGCTAGGCCTCATTGGGGGATTTAGGAAGAGCTAATTGCAGACTTGTAATTGAAGACAGCTTGGAGTCTCTGAAAATGTCAAGGAATGAGAGACGAACTTAGATGCTCCCGTGCATTTAAATATGCATCATTGGCTCAGCCAGAGCCTTACTGAGGAGAGGGAGATGTCTCTGGATCTTGTACAACTGGTGGGGGGAGCAAGGCAAAGGGAGCACTCACCTCACCTTGCCTGGGAGCCTTCTGCTCCCCCAAAGGCAGAGGGTAGGTGGGGAGGGAACATAAGCAGGGGTGAGTAGGGAGGGTGGGAATCCTCAGACAGGCTTGGGAGCTTAGTGTTGTCCCCCCCTTAAAAATTGTGTGATTTAACCTGGCAGAGCTTGTCTCCAACCTTATGATCCCTTCAGCCACCAGTGCTCCCTGAGGAGCATTAAGGGACTGGGAAGCCCCCTGTGCTGCCAGCTGCAGAGACCATTAGTGTCTGGGGTTGCAGGGAGGGGGAATTCACATTGGGTTTGGAACTCAGGGGTAGAGCAGCAGGACCAAGTCAGTGATCAATCACCACAGAAATCCAGGTGAGTGATCCCTGTACTTTCCTAGTTTGAAATTCCTCCAGCAACAACACATCTCCTCTCCATGCCTCACAGCTGATGCCCCATCTGCTCCAACCTATGTTGCAGCAGGGTAGGTGGGCACAAGCTGCATGGTGCAGCCTGCAGTGGGTTCAGCACCTCCTGCCCCAGGAAGGTCTCTTCTCAGGCCATAGCACCCTCATCTTGCTGCCCAAGACTATATGGGGCTGCTAGGGGCACCCTGGCTGCCAGTGGGTCCCAAGGATGCCTGGTCACCCATGAAAAGGGGAACTTCTACCTGAAGCTGTGCAACAACTGCTCTGTGGGAGTCCCCTTGTCCTACTGCTCTGTCTGTGGAGCAAACTCCATGGGTTGGATGAGCTGGCCATGGCAGTGGGGCATGGAGGAGTGATGAACACGTGGAGCAGCCAGTGTGGCAAGCCATGCTTCTTCCTGTCAGAAAAACAGCAGTGAAGCTGTGTTTTTGCTATTAAGACTTGGCATCATCTCCCAGAGTGACTTGGAGGTGCTCCATGGGGAGAAAACTGTTCTGGATGATGCAGACCCAGCACCTGCATGGCTGGTGAAGGACCTGCCTTGGCCCAGCTTTCTGCACAGGGCTTTCTTCATTTGCCTGTAAGGATGATGGAGAATATGTTTCTTGAGGCAGATGGAAGTGGGAGGTCTCTCTTCTGCCTCTGTGGGAGCTGCTTGGACACTGGCTCCATTGCAGCTTTGGGCTGTTGCTCTCTGGGCTGAATTGGGGATGGCTTGTGGGTGCAGGTTTCTGGTCCCCTCCCTGATCTGTGACACTTCATTACAGCTGCTGGTGGGGTGTCTGTGGGGGAATACATGGACAAACTGACCCCGGGAGATGGCAGCAAATGGCAGAGGGAGAATGAAGAGTCCCAGGCTAAATTGGCTGATGAGACATTTGTACTCGGGAAGGGGCAGGACAGCCTTCAGAAGGTCTCAGCTGATGGGAGATGCATGCAGGCTGGGTGGAAACCTGCAAGAGCTCTGCCTGTGCCCAGGGTGGCCCAGTGGCAGTCATGGGACTGAGGGATGTGGGATGACAGACAGGTTGGTCCCCACTGTAGCCAAAGCATGTGTTGTGGCATTGCCTGGCTGATGGGCTTGGGACTGAGGAGCACAGACTGGGGACAGCTCTATGCTAGGAGGCTGGGGCAGGTGAGGAAGGGGAACCAGATACCTTGGAGCCCTGCTGTTAATCTGTCTGCCACAGAGCCTGGAAGAGCAGAGGGCCAGGGCTATATAGTCTGGGGCATTACCTCCAGCTCACTGAGAGCTGAGTGTGGAGGTCACCCTGTGCTGTGTTCCCTGCCTGTCTCACGGTCCTTTGTCACCCCTGAGGACTGAACTCCTTGGGGGACAGCCAGGCAGCACCAAGCTGTGGCCTGAGGCAGTCATGGGGAGTCTGCTTCAGGAAGTGAGTGCCCCCTGGGCTGTAATAGAGGCTGTTCCCTCATCAGAAGTCCTGCATTAGAGCATAATCTGGCATTAGCACATTAATCCAGTCCTCCCGCTACTCAGTTCCTGCCCTCAGCAAAGTCCAGCCCAAGGTCTCAGTGTACAGCTGGGCAGCAGCAGACTGGGACACTGTCTCCCTGGCAGCCCCGAGAGCTGGTGGCAGCAGGGATGAGGTTTGGGTTTATGGTGGTAGTACAGCCCCAGCCCTTAGCATATTGGCAAGGAAGAAAGCAGCATCTTTTGGAAGCATCACATTTGGTTCCTTGGAGGGACTTCAAAAGGGGTTTTGGAGCCTGAATGCCTGTACCTGCAGGCTCTGGCTGAGCCACACTAAGTCTTGAAGCACTTCCCAGGGAGCCAGGCCAAGGGAAGGTGGCGTCTGGAGAGAGGATGTGAGTCAGCAGCTTGGGGGTGGGGAGCTGAGGAGCCAGCACAGCCGGGATGTGGAGAGGATGAAATAAGTGGGAATTGAGAAGGCTGTAGGGAGAGCAGAGGTGGGCAGAGAGGCAGCCGACATTCCCCACAGCAGATGTGGTGTGGCTGTGCTGCAAAGGCTCTTCCCAGCATGAGAAATGAAACAAATGGTGACATGACTCTGCTAAAATAAGAGAGGGGCTACTCCATCCTCCTTCTGATCCATTACCATGTGGCTGGGAGGCTTTGGGGAAGTTGGAGGGGTCCCCCTGTTGTGCTGGCAAGAGGCAAAAGCCTGCCCTCTTGACAGGGAAGGAAAGGCAGATACAAAGAGCCGTATTTTTGTTTAGTTTATTGTTTTGTTTTGGTTTTTTTTTTTTAAGTAGGGAAAAAAAATCCTTCTGTCTTTAAACACAGCGCAGCAGAAGCTGCCATGCCATAGCCTTTGCTCCCTCACTCTTCCTAGTGCAGGCTGAAGCCCTTTGGGGCTGTGTTCCCCATTTCACCCTGGACAGGGCACCCGAGGACTTCCCGCAGGTAGGTCGGAAACCCATGAGTGCGCTGGGCCCCCACACTGCTGCCAGCCACCTGAGACAGGCTGCCCACCCAGCTGGTACATATACCCCACTGCCAGGGATGGTGCTCCCCCATCAGCCCTCTGGGCTGGGCACCCACAGAGATGATGCTCCACCAGGAGCTGTGCTGGGCACGGCCCTGCTTGCCCATTGGCAGGATTTTGCTGCAGTCTGCTCTGAGGCGGCGGTTTTTGGTGACTGAAGAAAACTGCAGAAAGCAGCACCTCTGGCAGGCTGGGTCAGGTGGGGCTCTGGGGATGGGGGAAGCTGAGTTGGGTGAAGTGATGCTCTGTTCCCCCCTCCAATAAGCACAACATGTCATGAGGGGGGCCAGCTCCCAGTGGTGCCTGGGAATGGGAGCATCCCGAGTTGCCATGGTGACACCGGCTGCGTCCACAGGCAGGCGAGAGCATCGCTGGTGCAGTCCCGCATTGGTGTCCTCCCCCTTCTTTCCCGGCTGCCTTCCCTGGGGAGTGCAGGGCTTTTGGCGTGGCACCCTGGGGACAGAGCAGTGGGACTGTGCCAAGTGAGCTCAGAGCGAAGCAAGCCCTCAGCTGCAGGCTGTTGCATTGGGTGTGTGCAGTGGTCTTCCCTCTCCCAAAAAGGTAACTCCCCCTTTTCCCCAGCATGTCTCGCCTCCTATCCAGCAAGGACCCGGATTGCAGGGTCGGGAATGAGGAGGGGACTGGAGTCACCTGGGCTTCCCTGGTGTAGGCACTGGCAGAGGGACAAGAGGGATAGGGACAGGGCGGGGGAGAAGGGAGGAGCTACTAGTGACCCACATCCCTTAATCGGTGTCCTGACCTGCGTCATGCAGTTACCTAAGCCCTGAAGCGGCTTCCCAGGTGGAGGCGCAGCCCTCTGCCCCGTCTCTGAAGGAGGCAGCTGTGGCCAGTTCCCTGATTTTGCCCTTACAAAGCCAAGTCTGGGGGCAAGAGGTGTCTTCAGCCTGTCTCCACACTGGTTGCATGGGGGTAACTACTCCTTTCCCCCTCACTTCACCTCCTGCCATCCTTGGAACCAGGCTGTGCAACACTCAGGGACCCTGGAGGTAGGGACAGCCCCTCCCTCTGCAGTCCCTGCAACTCCTTTCCCATACATGGGCTCCTGGCTGGCAGCATTGGGCCCCCCCACTTCACAGCCTGAGCCCTCCCCAGAAGACACACTGACATCAGATCCCACTCCCTTAAGCTGATTAGGACAATGAGGATGCATCAAAGCAGATGCCACCAAGGCTGTGAGAGTGACCAGACCCTGGAGGGATGCAGAGGGGGCAGCATGAAGCCCCTAGATCTGTGGGCTGCTGTGATCTGGGGCATGCAGGGGTAGGGGCTGGGTATGGCTACAGCCATACCCATACCCCTACAGCAGCCACTGTGGGCACCAGTGGATCTGTGGGCATCTTCTTGGAGCCAGGCAAGCAGTGCTCTCCCGCTCACCTCTGCATCAGTGTCACACATGAGCCTGGCCTGGCACAGGATGTGGCTGTGCTGGGCCCAGTGCATTGCCCCAGACTGGTTACAAAGGGCTCTGTGAATCTCAAGAGATCCGGCTCCTGGAATCCCGAATTTGCCTGGATAACGGCAGGGTGGCAAACATCCTGCCAGGCCAACTGCACCTCCTCTTTGCCTCCAGTTGCCACATCCCCTTGCCAGCCCAAGATCAGTCTATGTGGGTACCCTGGAGGGGTGTCTCAAGTAACCCAGAGGTTTCCAACTCTGCCCTGTCTCTTGGGGTTAATAAGAATCGGAGGCGACACCTGGAGAAAAGGTGACACAGAAGAGTGGTGGCATCTTCCACACCCCAGCCCTGAAGGTGCTCTGGCGCAGATGGAAAAGGATTTGCTGGGTGGTTCCCCCTCTTGCCAGATCCCTTCAGACAGGAGAGAACACAGCTCGCAGCACCTCTCTGTTTTATTGAAGACCAAACCCACCCCCAGCCAGTGCAGAGCTGAGTGTGCCCAGCTGTTCGGTGTCTGCTGAGCCATTGTCCTGCTCTGGAGGATGGGGGCAGCTCCTTGAACCCAGGGGAGACCCAGGGCTGCTCCTTGGTGCCTGGGGCTCCCAGTCCTGCTGACATCCCTTCTCCTGCTCTACCTCCCTCCCTACCTTGTCCCTAGGAATGTTCCCACCTACAGAAGGTATCCCACCAAGCCCTGCATGTGAGGGGCTAAAGCCAGAGTAAAACTGGAACATTAATCTTGGAAGTGAAGAGCAGGACATGGGCTCATGTGCAGGATGTCAGGACCATCTGTGGTGTGATCTTCAAGCACTAGGGAGAGGGCAGAGTTGCAAGGACCAGGCTATGCTGCCTCCAAGCTCTGGTCTTGCCCTGGGAACTGGCAGTGCATGCCTGCCGCACCTGCCCCTCCAACCACAGATCCCTGCCCTGGGTAGGAATCAACCCATGAAGAACATCTGCTCTTCAGACTAAGCCTTCTCCTGCAATCTGAAGGAAGCTACCATCAGCAGGAGGTGTAGGAGGGATGGAAGAAAGGAAGACTTTGGAGACATAGGTGAGTGGACCAAGTGGTCAGGCAAGGTCCCTTTTCCTTGCCCCTGCTCAGTGGAACCCTCATCCAGGGATGCAGCTGCCCTGAGGACCCAGCTCCTGGCTCCTCTCTGCAGGTAGAGGGGTGGGGCAGGCATAGGCTGGGGGTGGAGCTAAGGATATTCATGGGATGGGCAGCATGTTGCAAAGGAAAGGGGATGCACAGTCCCTGCCAGGAGTGGAGCCGATAGTTTTCCTTTCCATTCACACCCTACTTTAGGTATCCACATCCATTCCCAGGATTATGGTTACCTTCTAAAGTTTAGATGGCTTCTCTCTTCCAGCCACCCCTATCAGGGAACCAACCCAGCTACCCTGCAAGCAACCCCCATACTCCCCACCATTCCAAATCTAAAAGGGGGCAAGTGAGAGCAGGGCACAGTCCCACCCCCCATCCCTCCCCACTGAGTTCCCAACTCCATAGCCCCATGCTGCCAGGGACGGGGAGCGTCCACCTGGCACAGCTGAGCCTCTAATGGTAATGGTTGTTCATGTTGTTGAGGTGGGAGGCCGCCATGGTGCTGAAGGGAGCCGAGGGCTGGAGCCCGTGCCCAGGGTAGAGGGATGGGCTGGAACCAGGCCAGTAGGAAAAGCCGGCCGGCGTCACCCCGGAGGTCATGAGGTTGAGTTTGGAGATGCCTGAGAAGGGCAGTGGTGCCAGGTTGCCCTGAAATTTGTAGAGGGTGTGATCGGGGGTGGCCGGCTGGCACACCTGCGCCAGCCCGTGGAAGTCGAACTTGTAGGCGTAGCGCTTGCCGTGGACCTTGGTCATGATGTTCTTGTCGTAGTAGTAGCGCAGGGCCCGGCTCAGCTTGTCGTAATTCATGTTGGGTTTGCTCTTCCGCTCGCCCCAGCGCCGTGCCACCTCGTCGGGGTCGATCAGCTTGAACTCCCCGTTTGTGCCTTCCCAGGCGATGCAGTTCAGGTTGGCCCGGTCTGAAAGCAGCTCCAGCAGGAACTGCCACAGCTGGATCTGCCCACTGCCTGCAAGGCCGAGCCCCAGAGAGGTTAAAGCTCCCTCCCAGGGCACAAGGTTAGGGACAGGATGTGCCCCAATTCACCTTGACCCACTGCTATATTGCCCCCTCCCATGTGGACCCAGGTTTAGGCTGCACCTCACTGCATCTTCCCTGCTCTAGAGATGCAGAGGATGGTAATGAGGTTGTGTCTCCTTTGCAGCATCCCTACTCCATCCTACCCCCCAGGTAAGAGGAGGAAAAGATGCCCCTGCACCTTGTGATGGGGTAGGAGTGCTCAGAGGTCAACATAGGTTGCAGTGGGTCTGGATCCAGAATCTCCACATCCCTCCCACCCATGTTCACACACCACTGAAGATGAATACCTGCTTGTTCGTTTTGGTGTGAGGACATGGCCTTTTTCTTTCATCTGCAGCTCCAAGAAGGAGATATCTTGGAAGTGCTCAGACCTATCGCAGCACAAATACTCCCCACTGCCACATCTGCTTGAAACTGGGCTGGTGTCACAGCACAGCCTCTGCTCTAGGGACACTGTGCCCTGCACTGATGTCTCCACGATAAGCAGAAGTCAGGGTGCAGCACTGATCTGAACTACACCCCAGAGTCACAGATAAGTATAGGAGAGGGAGAGAGGAGGACAGGGCAGGCAGGACCTGCTGTGGCTTTGAATCAGCCATCAATGATCCTTATTTCCAAAGGAAAAATGTCCTTTCTGAGCCATGACCATTGCATCTACAGCTTGCACTGAGGAGTATCCTTGGTGCGTGGCCAAGGTGCCCCTGTGCCAAGCCGCACACACTAGAGCCTGGCACACCTGGACGTGCTCATGGTGAGGCACAAGGACAGGCTCCATTGTGTCTGGTGAGAAGTCACAAAAGGAGAGGGTCCCTGGACCTTTGGACAAGGAGCATTCCTGCCGCTGGGACCCAGCCACCCTGCAGAACAGCCCTACACTTACCTAGACACCTTGCCTTACCCCATCCAAGCAGCACCTCCTGCACATCCCTGCTCCTCATCCCAACCCTTGCAGCACAGTCTGTTCCAACAGCAGAGGACGTGTCTTTACCTTTCATCATTCTCTCTGTGCTTTTCTACCATTATTTTGTCTATAGGTGCTTGGATTCCATACAGAGGTTTAGCATGCGCGACCCCTGCAGCAAGCAGTTCCACAGCTCAGCTACATTTCCCACAAAGAACCACCTTATCCTACTTATCTCACACAATTTTATCTAGTGCTCTCCACTTCTTGCCCTGGAAGGAGCAGGGAACAGCTGTTTCCCATCCATCCCTGTTTCATCAAACCGAGGCTAGACATCCTGATCCAGGCAGATACACCCCAATCTTTCCGAGGTTCTGCATTTCCTAATCCCCCATCCTGGGACCAAGGTGGGGGATCTCTCCTAGGGAGAGCCTTTGCTTCTCACTGCCACAGCCTCCACCCTGGGCTCCAGCTATCTCCCACTTATGCCTGTTCCACCCCATGCAAGGAGGGTAGGGAGGTGTTGGGGGGTGCAGCCGGGTGGGGTGGTGAGGCTCAGTCCTGACTGCCTCAGGGTGCCATGATAATGCACCTGGCATCTCCCCGAGGAAATATCCAGGGATCCAAAAAGGTCCTTCTCACTGCATCACAGTGCACAGAGTATGGCTAGGCAGAGTTCCCAGTGCAGAGGCAAAAGGATCTCCCCAGTCCCAGCTTTCCTACCTCTCCCATCACTAAATCAGGGCTCCCCTTTTTCTGCTCAGAACAGCCCTTTGTCAACTGTCTCTTTGCAGACAGGCAAGCTTCATTGCCCAAACACCACAGTGCTGGCCCCGCGATGCCCAGCGCTGCTGCACTCCCCAGCAGGCTCCAGGCTGCTCTCTGGCCAGCACTTGCCCACGCCCGTGACCTCTGCGTGGATTTCTCCAGACGGAGACCCATCAGTTCCTACATCTGCCCGAGCCCCAGCCCTTTACCGGTAGCTCCCTCACGGGTGGTGTCTCAACTCACCTCCCCACTCCCAGGAACGGGCCTCCCGAGCCCGGATTAGCTCGCCCCACACCCGGGCTGGCTGGCAGATCCCTCCCCGTCTGATGTCCCGAGCACCTGGGGGACCGGGGCTGGGACCCCACACTCTCCCCGCGGCGGGGCTCGGGGAACTGGGTTCCCCGCTCCCCTCTGCTGCCACGGGACGGGGGCTCCCGGCCGTCGGGACTCGCTGCTTTCCCCGTAGGATTTGGCGGCGGAAAGCTCCCAGCCCGCAGCAGCAGGGAACGGGGGCTCCGCGGCGGAGCAGTGTCCCGCGTGGGCAGTGCCCGGCACAGGAACGGGAAGGGGTCCCCGGTGGCTGCTTATCGGGGAATAATGTATATGCCCCGGGGGTCCCCGCTCCAGGCCGGCTGAGGGAAGCAGAGCAGGTCCAGGGGAAGGGGCAGCGGTGCTCTTACCTTTCTGCACGCCGGGGCTGAGAGACCCCCATGCCTGGCTCTTCCCGTCTTTGAACAAAGTTTCCCCTACTGGATCTGGGGGGAAAAAAGGGGCGCCGGTGGGGGTGGCGGGGGGCTGGAGCCAGGCAGGACCGCGACCCCCCGGCGCCCACCCGCGGGCAATGTCCTTGCATCCCCCGGCCGCTCCCCCTCGCCTGCCCCGCCGCTGCGGCGAAGCCAGGAAACGCGTCCAGGAAAAAGGAAATCCGATTTCCGACCCAGCTGGGGAAGCTTTTAAATAGGAATAGAAAATCCCGTGGTCTGGGGTAGAGAGGAGAGAGGCAGCGAGGGAGAGAACTGCGGGGCAGGGGGAGAGGGAGAGGAAGAGGGTGAGTAGCAGGATGGGTGGCAGGATTGGCGGGTGGAAGGAAGGATGACTGTTGGTGTTTGGGGAGCGGACTGCTGTGAAAAGGAGAGATAGATAGATGGATGGACGGAAGGAAGGAAATGGGTGGGTGGATGGAAGTACAGAAGGGAGGTTGGATGAGTGGGTAGATGGAGGAAAGAAAGGTCGAGAAGTGGATGGATGGAGGCAAGGGTGGATAATGGGTAAGATGAGGGAAAAATAGGCTGATGAAAGGGACAGAGGGTAGATAGAGGGGTTGGCTGGTAGCGGGGATGGAAAAGGGGATGGAGGGACAAGTGGGTGGGGTGGAAGGATGGATGGAAGCACAGGGCGAGGACGGGTAGGTGGAAAGATGAGTTGGAAGGAGAGAAGGGTGAATGGAGGGATAGAAGGACAGGAGGACGGTGTGTGGATGAAGGATGGGAGGATAAGTGCGCAGGCATGGAAGGCTGTGAGGGTAGATGGAAGGAATGGTGGTGGTGCTCGAAGGCAGGAAGAGAGAATGGACAGAAAGAGAGAGGAGAGAACAGGGTGGGCTCTGGAAGGAGACAGGGCGGAGAAACCTCCCGGGGCCTCAGCGGGACAGGGTGGGCAGGGGCTGGGTGCTGTGCGGTGCACGGCGCAGCGGTGGGGCAGCGGCCGAGGGATCCACCCGTACCTGGCAGGTACATGTTGAGCAGCAGTGGCACCGCTCCGGTGCCGTGTCTCATGGCAGCTGTGGGGGCGGCCCGAGGGCTGCATGTTTTAATATTCCTGCCCCTATTATTATTATTATTATTCCACTTTATCAGGGAGCAGCTGATGGCGAATAAATGGCAGCGGGACGGGCAGGGGACGGGCAGGGGCCGGGGGAGGCGGAGGAGGGGGGGAGTTTCCAGGCAACTCGCAGGGGCTCGGGGCCCCGGCTCCAGCAATTTCCTCCGCTGTAATTAAAGCGGGCGCAGCCCCCCCTCCCTCCCCCCCCCCCCCCCCCCCCCCCCCCCCCCCCCCCCCCCCCCCCCCCCCCCCCCCCCCCCCCCCCGCTATCGGGCCCGAATCAGACTTTAATCACGGCCGCGGGTTTCTATGGAGAGAGGCTCGGGCCGCTTCCTGCCTCTTCCGCCTCCTTAACTCTTCGCAAACACTGCGCTGCCATCCCAGCTAGGAGCGGGCTCGGACACTGCCTGGAGACCGCCCGGGCCCGGCCTCCCACCACCATCTCGCTTTCTGACCCGCCGACCGGACAGCATCCTCTCGGCCCTCTGCATCTCACTGCACGGCATTGGCATCAGCAGAGGCATCGGCATCGGCATTGACATAATCCCACCAGCATCAGGCTCTCTGAGCCACCTGTGCTGCCAGCCATGAGGGTCCATGCCTGCCTCTTTCCCAGCTTCAACATCAGCAGCACAGTCTTGGGGTCTCCTTGCAGTTCCCAGAGCCCTGGGATGGGCTGTCTGGGTCCCTACCAGGTCTCTCCAGCTCTGGGACACTGGTAATGGGATTCCTTTGTGGTGCCGAGTTTCAGGTTGGGTAAGTGCACTGCCAGCAGTTGGTGGCACCAGGTTGTACCACAGGTTTGCCACCTCCCTGTCTCCTCTGTGCCCTTCCAGACCGTCCCTGCCTCAGGGACAGTTAAACCTGTGACCAGCCTTGTCCCAACTGTAGAAACTGGGTGAAATTCAACACCCACCCAAACTGGGATGGCCCTGTCTTCATCTGCTTGTCCTGGGCAGCCCTGGGTATTTTCTGAAGACAGGAAGGCAATTTGTGGAGAAATGTGCAATGGAGAAAGATGATCCCAGCTCCCCAGAGACATTTGGCCAGGTTTTTCCCTATCATACATGGCTTCAGCTGATATATGCAGTTGTTGGGTACTCTCACAGGCTCTGCCCCTCCAGTCAAGAGCAGACTCTCCACCAGGACCCCATAGCTTGACATAGCCAGGCAGTATGTCAGCAGCTCGCACCAGCTCTGCTCCACGAGTCCAATGTTGTACAGCCAAGATCACAGCCTCTCCTGTGATGTTTCATTGATGTGTACTAACAGGACAAGCTCTTATGCAGGACTTAGATGAATTTCTTGAGAGCAGTCATTGCCAGATATGAACCTAATGGAATCCAGAATACAGCCGTGCTAGACCCACGGTTATTATTAATACTGCAGCCAAAATGTGCCCTGCATAAAAAGGTGAAAAGTGCTCAGCTGGGCTGCCACAGCCCAACAAGGTTGGTGGTTCCTCCTGGGGGTGGATGTCCAAAGTGTTTAGGAAACAGGGGGTCCCATGGGTGCTGAGCAGGGCTCCAGGTGCTCCACCTCTTCTGCCCGTCTCCATCAGGAACAAAGAGCAGATACTGGCAAGGGGAGACATGAGCAGAGACCATGGTGCTCCCCGAGCAATTCCCCACAAATCCTGCTGAGATGTAACAGCCCTTTAGAAGTTTCTGTTCTCCCAGCTTGTCCTCCGAGCTCCCCCAAACCCCACAGTGGGGAGTCCCAGCTCTGTAAAACCGAGCAGGTCTGGCTGCTCCCCCCATCCCTCTCCTCCCCAGACCTCCAAGTGCAACTTTCCCAGCAGTGGCTCTGCAGCCTCCCAGACTTGCTTTCGCTGCCTGAGTCACTGAAACAAACCGCAGGCAACGGAAAACAAGCCCCGGAGACAGCAGGGTGAGGTGGGGAGGGTGCCAGACCCACCAAGCTGTTGTCTCCTGGCAGCTGGGGTGACTGTGATCTTCCTCCAGCAGATCTGGATGGTGGAGGGCATGGAGGGGTGGTCTGGGCTGAAGAACACCACATCAAGCCAGAATGGGGGGAGGGTGAAAGAGGCAGCTGAGATCAGGCTGAGAAGCAGGGTTAGGGCAGAGGGAGCTGGAGTTAGGGATGCTTTGGAGGGCAGTGGGGATGGGGATTCCTGGGTCACTGAGAAAGCCAGTGAGTGGTGAGGCTTAAAGTGGGCAGTGGGGGGACTGGAGGCTTTTGGTGACCTGGGGGCAGAGGGGTGCGAAGGGGCAGGGAGTGTGAGGTCCCAGGGGCTGGGGAGCTCTGTGTCTATGTGGAGCTTCTGGGGACCTGAGTGATGTGACATCAGGTTCACAGGGGAGCTGGAGCAGACCTGGAGGATGGGGAAAGGAGAGTACATGAGAAATCCAGGGAGCAGGGACCCATGTTCATGGATGAACAAGGAATTGGGCATGGGGTCTGTGGGGGATCTGGAAGATGAGGGTTCAGGTCTGTGGGGCTCCTGGGGACAGAGCCCAGACACACAGAGCACCTAGCTGGCAGCAGCTGCAGGCCCCTCTGGCTGCAAGCAAGCAGCCTGCCCCCCACCACCCACCCCAGCACTCACCCCCCTCGCCCCCCCCAGGATGGAGCAAGAAGGACCCCAGACTTTGCAATGACCCCCATAGCCTGCCCCTACCCTCACCCACTGCAGGTGCCCAGGAGAGCTTCACCTGTGAGCCGGCGCTGTGAAGTGGAGCCAAGCTGACGTGGCCCTGTGCTGGCTGCACCTGGCCAGGTGTGCCGGAATGTGTTTGTGCAGGGGGAGAGGCCATGGGGCAGTGGCGGGGTGGGGCCAGCAGGGACATGGAGGGGACAGGGTAGAGCTGGGGGGTGCCCTGCAGCTGGGATGCCACGCAGAATGGGGACGCACAGGTGCTGGGGCTTCTGCATGGCCACACTGGGGTGCAAGAGGAAAAGGGACGTACAGGGACACGCTTGTGTGCTGCACACTCATGTGTGTAGTTCATACACACACATACACATCCTGACACACATGCCAGGGCTGGGGGCTCTGCACAGGCCTGACTGTGGGGTGTGCGCACACCGACCCCCAGCCCAGTTCAGCCCAGTGTTCCAGCACCCTTCTGGGACACCCCCTGCCCCAGAGTCAGATATGCTTTTAGCAGGGTGGGCATTGGGGAACCTAGGCATCTGAGCCACCCAGCAGTGTTCCACCATCCACCCATGTCCTGGATGTGGGGAACACCTCGGGACCAGAGGCCTGTGCCTCAGGAGGGCTTCAGGGTGCTGATGGAAGAGGGAGGAGGAAGGAATATCCAGCATGCAGGGAGAACCTCGGGACAGGGGGCCTGCACCTAGGAGGGCTTGGGGAGCTGGAGTTGAAGGAAGAGTAGAAGGAGGTTGGGAAAGGGTGCTGAAGGAGGAGGAGGAAGCTGGGTGGGGCTCCCGGTGTCCCACAGCCGGATATTGGCACGGATGTGCTGGCGTGGCAATGCTGGGGGAGGACACACACACCTGGATCCTAGGGGTTCCGGGAGCATCTGGGAGCATCAAGCCAAGCCCCCTACCAGCTGTGGGACACTGCCCTGAGAACCTCCTTCCACTGACCCCTGCACCACCCACCTTCCACCCCCAGCCCCTCTCTGCCAGTGCCCCCTACCCTGACAAAACTGTGGTTACCCTGTTTGTGTGAATGTTCTGTCCTGTCCCCCCCATCCCTGCCCCAGGTGACCTTTGTGCTCTTCCTCCTTCCCAGGCCCACTGCAGGCAGGGACCTTCTTCTCTCTTCAAGAGAGAAGCAGAAGGAGATGATGCAGAGGGAGGGGACCTTGAGCTCACAGACTTTTTAGTAATCACCTTCCCTAGTACTGATCCTGGAAGGAGAACTGAGGGCATGACACCCCTGGATACCTCTTACCAGGACATAACCCTCCTGGATGCCCTCTCCCAGCTGCAGTCCTTTCTTTGCCCGGCAAGTTCACGTTTTCCCAGCCAGAGCATCACAGCGTTAGAACTGTCCTGCATCCCCTCTACTCTTTGTGCATGGATCAGAGGTGGGATGCAGAGAGCCCAGCCCAGGCTGGAGGTGGCCACAGCCCCAAAACCACGTGGAGAAGGGGAAGAACCACATTCCACCCCTCAGAGGGTCTTTCAGTGTGGCAGCACCCTGAGAAGCAGAGCAGAGGCAGGAGCACCCTTTTTTTTGACAAATGCCTTTATTTGCTACCGGATAGAGGTCTATTGCACAGCAGCCTGGAGGCTGCAGGGCATTCAGCCCTGCCCCTGTTCAGTGCTGGACGCGGCGGATGGATTGGATCTGGTTGGTGTGGGCCTGGCTGCTGTATTCATTGTACTTCTTGAACTCGCCGTTCTGTCTGTCCCGCTCCAGCACGTACTGGTAGCCCCTGTATCCCGGGTACTGGTATGCCACCCACCTGAAGGCAGACCTCTGGCTCAGAGCCCCAGGCCAAATCCTCCCCTTGCCTTCCCTCCCTCCCCTCCCCTTTTCTTCTTTTCCCTCCCCTGCCCTCCTATCCCAATCCCATCCCAACTGCATTCCATCGCTCTGCTTGCCCTGGGAGGAGAGGGACGGAAAACATCCCATAGCTTGGATTTTCAAAGAAAAAGGGGTAGGAAGGCATCCCTTCTCTTTGGGGTCCCCCTTCCCCATCCTGGGGTTATGCAGGAGGGAGATGCTTTGCCAAGCCCCTGCTCCCAGCCCCCCCAGCCCCCTGCCCTACTGGTAGGACTCACGCTCCGGAGTTCACTTTGATGGATGCCACTTCCTTGTTGCCCCAGCCCATGGCTTGCAGCGAGGGGTAGTCGTCGCTCAGCTCAAACTTGTGCCCCTGGAAGTTCTCAGCCTCGTAGAGGATGACTTTGCTGTCATTGTGGTTCTGCAGAGGGTGATAGCTGGGGGTCAGCAGGGATGGGTTGGCTTGTGCAGAGGTAGGGGATGTGGCTTCAGAGTGACATGCACCAAGGCACTGTGAAAGGCCTGGGACCACGCCCAGCTTTGGTGCAAGGCACAGGGATGTCCTTCAGCCTGTCACCCCCTCACTGGGCCACCCCAGGGCTGCCCAGAAGATGCTGCTCTCATGTTCCTGTGGTCCCAATGCACAGCTCCCAGTGAGGGTGACAGTGGCTACAACCCCTGAACCCACATGGGCTCCTATCCTCAGCATCCTCATGCTCTCCAGAGCTGCAGGAGGGTTCAGGGCAAGGCAGGCTGCTGAGACAGGTCTCTTTGGCTCTGTGGGGCCTTGCTGGATCCCGGACACCGAGGGGTTAATAGCTGGGACACTGAGCAATGCACTGTCCCCCGTGCCCAGCCCCCACACACATCTATCTGCACCGAGGAGCAGTCCTGCCAGTAAGGAGTGATCTTATCGCATCCTCTTTATTAAAGCCCGAACATATCTGCCTGGTGATTATTAAAAGTTTGGGGGGGGGACCCCCCACTCGGAGGCACAGACGTGCCGCTGCTGCGAGCACCAGTGTCTCTGCAGATGGAGCGATAGAGCTGCGCCTGCCTGGGCACAGCTCAGGTACCCTGGGCAGGAGGGGGACGGACCCTGGACCCTGAGACACACTGCGGTCCTGCTGGCTCCTCTCTGTTCACCCCATCCCCGGGTATCAGGGCTGGGGAACAAGACCTGGGGAACTCAGTCTGAGAGGTGGATCCCTGAAGCACAAAGCAGAAGGAGCTGGGACAGTGTTTCAGCCTAAATTTTAGCCCTGAAAAGCATCTCAGGATCATTGCAGGGAGGTGGGAGCAGGTGGGCGCAGCTACTCCTCCACCTTACAAGCAGCTCTGTGTGCATTTCACCCCTCTATTCCATGCTCCTGTAACTCAACCTCCAGTCTGTCGCTCCATGCTGGGCTGCGAGAAGGAGGCTCTGTCTGCCCCAAGCCCCCCACCATGGTTTCCCAGTAACTCACTGCGCATTTGATGGGCCGGAAGGAGAGGAGGTGCTCGGTCCGGTAGCCACTGTTCCCACTCCAGGCCTCCCACCGGGGATAGTCACCCTTCTCCAGGATAAACTGCTGCCCCTGGTACTCAGGGTACTCGAAGCCTACCCAGCTGTAGGGGAGAGGAGGAAAACCCTCAGGGATGTATGACACAGCTCCCAGGGTCAGCCAGGGGTTGGCTTCTCCTTCCCATGTAGGGGACAGAGAAGTCCTGGCAGGTTGTGGGTCTGTCCAGAGGTTGGGGTCCTTTCTAGCAGCAAACGTCCCTTTTGAGAGCAGGACCCCTCTCCCCAGAGCCACTCCATTGTCTCCAAGGTGTGCCTTGGCTCAGCAGGGTTTCCCTACCTAGCAGATGGGGAAACTGAGGGATCACACAAGGAGCGCAAGCAGAAAGGTCTCACAATTAGTCTGTGTCAGAGCCGAGGAAGGACTAGGGTGTTCTGGCTCCCCAGCAGCTCCCAACAGTTCCCTAGGCGCAGTGGGTTTGCTGGAGTAGGGTGTGCGAAGGGGCCGTGGGGCTCACAGGGCACTTACGGGCCAGACTCCACCTTGATGGAGCGGATCTTGCGGAAGCCACGCTCCATGATGCTGGGACACTCCATGAGGAATTCGCAGCGCTTGCCCTGGAAGCTCTCCTCCTCCCACACCGTGATCTTGTACTGCCCCAGGGTGTCCATGGCTTCACTGCTGGTCATACGGGTCGGGTCGCTCGGCTGCTGGCAGAGCCCCACGCGTCACCCCACGGCAGGTGTCCACCACCAGCCCCAGCCACCCTGCTGATTGCCACTGAGTCTGGGGTGCCAGCGCTTCTGCCCTTACACATCCCATGCCACTGGCCCCTTGCCCTCCCAGCCTGGTACGGCAGACACTTCCCTTCCCTTGATGGTAGGGTATCTCTGTCTAGTGAACCCCACTTTGCAGGGAGAACTTGCGATGCCCCATTTTTCTGTGTAATGTACCCAGGACTGCCTCAGCTTTTTCTGCTCCCAAGCTCCCAGTGATGGCTCCAGGAGTTGACTGGGTGCAGTGGCACTGTACCCGGTGCCGGGAGGTGGCAGTGACCCCCAACTCAGACATGGGTGTGGGTGTAGCCGTGGGGCAGAGCAGCCCGGCTCTTTCATCCCTCCTGCCAGGATCCCTCCTGCGCCCGCACAGGGCACCCCTGCTGTGCCACGCAGCACCCCGCCACTTGCCCTTCCCCGCGGTGTGCGTTGGGTGGGGGGGCTTGGTGTGGGGGTGAAGGGAGCATGGCAGCGCCTGTGCAGTTGGGGGGCTTGGGGTCTCACAGCCTGGTACTTACTTGGTCGGCAGGGCAGGGCACAGAGGCGAAGGTGGCGGTGCCGCCGCCGGCTTCTCCCCTCGCCCTTTATAGGCGGGCGCCGAAGTGCCGATGGTGCAGGCGGTCAGGGCGCTGTGTCAGCAGGCAGGGGATGGGGGGGGACGGGGTCCGCATCCACCCCAGACTCCGGCTGTCCATTCCACTTAGGCAGTGTGGCGAGAGCGGCCCCCCCGCGCCCAGCAGGGCTGACAATGAAAGTGCTGGGCTGTGTTTGCGCAGGGGCTCAGGGCACAATGGGCAAAGGGCCTGACGCGCCGCTTTCCTTTCTGCCCCCGGACAATGTCCCCGCTTGGCCCAGGGATTAGGGACCCAGCCTTTCCCAGGGCACCCGCAGCCTTTGCCAGGGTTGAGGTTGGTGGGAAGGAGGTGCCAGGGCGAAGCGGGGATTTGCCCGTAGGGAGCTGAGGGGCACAGATATCCTTACACTGGGACACAGGGCTCACATTGGGGCTGCTTCTACCCCACTGCCTGGGGCTCTGCCACCAGGGCTCTCCCTCCTCCAACCAGGCTCTGCCTTGCATGTCCTGAGCTGGCAAGGGAGGGATTCAGTTTGCACTGCTGGTAGGGCTGCATGTGGGGTGGGAGAAGGTTAGGGTGAGTGATAGGAGTGAAGGAGGTGCTGGAACAGGCGCAACTAGGTCCATCCATGCTCTGCAATGCTCTGCAGGGGTTCCTGTTGACTCTAGACTGGACACTAATGGACCCTGATTACCTGATCCTCACTTGTAATGCCCCAGGCATGTCCTCTGGCTTGACAAAGGACTCCCTGTGCTCCCTGTTCACCTCCCACTCAGGCAGGGGACACCATGCACAGCAGAAGGGGACCAGCTTTGAGACAGAGCTGTGTCCTTTACCTGGTCAGCAGGGCCAGCCCTAACTGGAACTGCATCCGGACATGCAGATATCCCCAGTGCCTCCTACCAGGACCTGGGCTGGATAAGGCCAGCACAGGCTGGAAAAGGAGAGGGGTGCCCTGTCAAGCTGTGAAATCCTGGGTCTCTTGGCAGCAGTGTTTCTTGCAGCATCCCTGCACAGTCTGTGGTGAGGCCGGGCACTCCTCACCTTCAGCTGGACAGGTGCCATGCTGGCCTCTGGGCAAGGGCTTGCCCAGAGCACCCCAAAACTTCCTGTGAAAACCTCAGCCTCTCTGGGGTCCTGAGGATGAGGTCAGTACCCCAAGAGACCCCAACATTGCCAGTGATGGAGAATGCAGCGTGGGCAGCTGGGGGTGGTGTCAGCAAGAAGTGGGGACTAGGGGGTGACAGCAAGGACAGGCTGGGGGCAGGACTCGTGGGTCCTCTTCATGAACCCCCGACTGCTCGACGGCACCTCGGGCAGCTTTTCCTCGCCTGCTCGGTGAAGGGCCGCGCCGATGCCTGCAGGACCCAGCAGAGGGTGCAGCCTAGCAGCGGTTGGAGCTGGCTCCAGCTCAAGACATTAGTGGCCCTTGGCCGGGGACAGGCGCTGGAGAGGCGACCCTCAGCTTGAGCCGCCCTGGGTGCTCGTAGCAGGGAGGGGGAGACCCTCTGGGAGCTCTCTAGGGAAGCAGAAGATGGAGGGAAGAATGGGTAGGGTCTCCGGAGAAGGAAGAGCATCCCGGTGCAGCCCAGTGGCCTGGGAATATCTCTCAAACTGCTGGAGGGCAGGTCTGGGCAGAGTTTAGGGAGGCCATCACCTTGAGGAAGGTGGGGCAAGATCCCGAGCTAGTGCACTGCAGGGTCACCCCCTGCTGCCACCACTCCCCTGAGCTGTATGAGCAGAGGTGTGGGGCATTGTTTAGTCTGAGGTGCTGTGGGGTGCAGGGGTGTCCCCAGAACATGGGACACCAGAGGACATGTGGGCTGTTATGGGCTGTGTGTATGGGGTATGAGGGGCACTGCCTGGTGTCCTACAGGATCTAAGGGGTGCTGGTGGTGTACCATGAGGAGCATGCAACTAGCTCAGTAATTCCCTTACAACCCTTTGGATAAAAGCACCAGAGGGAGTAGGGTGTGTGTGTGCAGAACAGAAACAGATGCAGATTATGCCCCTTCCTTGCTACTCGGCATGTCCCACTCACTGGGATGTGCTTCACCCTCTGCTTGGTGCATTCAGGACAGCGACATGGGAGTAACAGCCACATCAGGCGACAGTGGATCAGCGGGGTCTCCCATGAGGAGCACTCCCCCACTGCTCCCCAGAGTGCTGATGCAGCCTGTCCTCCCTGGGGCATCTTTCCGCTCCTTGGGGCAGTCTCTGTCATCCACCAGCATCCCCATGGCTAGGTCACTTGCCAGCCCCCAGCCACACCTGTCCAGCTGGGGACAGGGGCAAGGGGAGGCTGGTGAGTGGACAGGCAGCAACTCTGCTCAAGGGCAGCTGCTAATACTGGCTGTGGAGCTGGTTAGCGTTCGCCCAGGGCCTCCTGCATAGGCTAATTTAATAAGGGCCCCTCATTGCTCCCGGCTCAGCCTGTTCCCTGTGCTAGCAAAACAGATCGGGTTTCTCCATCCCACCGGGCACAGCGCAGCAGCCGAGCCGGCAGCCTGGGGGCACAGTGGGAGCACTGGGTCACCCGAGTGCTGCATGTTAAGCCTACATTATGCAGCCACAGTACCTAGCTGTGGGGTTGGACCCTGTGCTTTGTGCATGCACTGGCACCAGGACAGTGCACAGCCCGGGGAGCTGAGCAGCATGACAGGCAGCCATTAGGGAGGTGAGGCAGGTCCTGCCTGGGAATCCTGATGCTAGTGCCACATCTGGGACTCATGGCAGCACACCGTCATTCCCACTGTTGTTATGAGTAGCTGGGCTAGATGACCAAGGCAGCACAGCAGTGTGTAGTCCTGCATCTGGCTGACACCATGACCCCACAAGGCCTGCTAGCTTCTGTCTTTCTTCTCAGCCCTGCTGGGGGCTGGACTGCTACCCCAGGGGGCTGGAGATCTGTGGGCTGGGCCAACCAGGAGCAGATGGAGCTGATGCCGGCCCCTGTTTGTCTTTCTCCCAGTTGCCTGGTGCTCTATTTGTTCTGGGGATGGCTTCCTGCTGCCAGGGCCAAAACAGGTGGCTTTTATTTGCAGGGTCTGGCTGATTAGATCGGGGCAGTGTGTTGTTACCCCACACAGCCCCACTGCTCTTTTTTCCTCCCCTTTCTCCCCCAGCCTCATTTCTCTGGGAAATCATCCTCCTTGGCAAGAATGCAAACACCCCCATTCCCTCCCCAGTCTTTGGGGACTGCTCTGAACATGGCCACACTAAGATTCGTTAATCCCAGCCAAAACCCCTACTTCCATCTGCTGGGTCCTCAAATGACAGAGCAGAGAGGCTTGCTGGGATCTCCAGTGCCACTTGTCTCCTCCTGAATCTTTGCTGAGCACACAGGACACACGTGTGCAGGCTTTCACCCACCGCAGAAGCCTCCTTGCACAGGGATCCCTGGCACATGCCAGCCACCCCACACACACGTGTCTCCTGTGCACCCAGCCATCCCATCCATGCAGCCGGAAACTCCCGGGATCGCAAGAGCCTGGCAGATGTTGCTGGGATTAGCTCCCACACAGGCATACACGTACACCGTGGGCTGCCAGCTGTTCCATGCCTGGAGAAGTCCCAGGTACTTAGGCAGAGCTAGGCAGGTACCCGCTGTAGCTCCTGCTGAACCCAGGGCAGGAGGATTCTAGAGGATGAGTGGGAGAGGAACCCACTGGGGACCAAAATGATGACTGGTCTCTGGGTACTGTCATCAATGGCCAGAGAAGAGCAGGGATGTGGTGGAGGGCACAGCAAGCAGAACACAATGCAAGGGATACCCATACGTTCTCACTCACAGCTGAATCTTGCAAACAACTGGCTGAGGTGATTCTCCATGCAGCACATCTAATCTCAGCTTCAGCTACCCCCAGGCACCCATGACCCTCAGCCAGCCACCACTGCCCCACTGAGACTGGCTCTCCAGACATGCCCACTTGCTGCCCCCACTGGCACCCTGGCCACTCCGAGTACTCTGCTTACCCTCTCCCTGTGGGATCACGGGTGCCCACTCTTCCCTGTGGCACCCACAGCTCCTGAGATGCACCTGTAACGACCTGCCAAGGATACTCCCAGGGACATGTGTTCACCCTGTGCCACCTATCCATGACCTGATCCTGGCTGCCCCCGGCATGGGGGTGTGCTCAGTCCCCAACTCTGCCAGCCTTGCTCAGTCCCCAGGAACTGCCAAGGGAGCTGTGGCCTCACCTGCCTACTCTCCACTGTTCCCATGGGGACTAATCCTACCTGAAGGTCAGGAAGGCTCCGCCAGCTGCTCACCTCCTGCCTGTGGATTAAAGCCTGAGTGTGAGCAGGTGGCAACTGCTGCCTCCCTAGGCTGGCCCAGCCCTGGTATGAGACTGACAACAGCATAAAACCCAGCTAGGCAGCTCTAAAAGGGACCCCAAGGTGGCAGCTCCCTTGCAGCCTGAGGTGTCCCCCCTGTCATATCTTACTCAGATGGGGATGCCAGGCACTGAGGCAGAGCAGCAGTACTGGGGCAGTATCTGGTCCTCTGGTCCAGATCCTGACCTGAAATGCAGCCAGCTGGTGCCAGCCACTGCAACTTCCTGCTTGTTACCACAGGTGACCCCAGCCTGGCACTCCCAGGGCACCCCATGGCTTCAGTGTCCTGCGGAAACCTACTGGCCCCTCCAGAGTGCCCACTGCAGACCAGTCCCAGGAGAGTGGTGATGGAGACAGGGAAGCATGCCCCACCACACACTCAGCCTATCCAGGATGCAGTTGCTGGTGCATCTCCTTAAGTATCTTGTATCATATTTGGAAGGTATCATGGGTGAGCACAGCTTCCCAGATCCCAGCTTTACCTATAGCACCTAGGGTGTTGTCATGGGAGTGCAGAGTACAAGGTCGGGGCTGACAGCCCCTGGCAGCCTCAGAGGCAGGAGATGCCAGCTCACCCAGTGCCTGCCCAAGGTCCCAGTCCACCCTGGTGCTCCTCCACTCCCTTGTTGGCTACATCT